TCCAGCCGACGATACTAAATCGGACCACACATTAACTCTGCAACGGAAACACAAAAAACTGACCCAACTTTCACCCAAGAGCCTCGCATAAAATGGTCTTGGGGCCCAAATGCCTCAGCATACGTGACACGAACCCTCAACGGCGTATAGACCTTATAAAGCCGGTCCTGCTGGAGCTTCGCCACCCGCAGCAATCGCAGTAAGCGAAGCAGCCTGCCGGGCTCCGCTGCGCAGGGTATCGGGTTTCGTTGGCTTCGGGTTTCATGGAGCAGTTATGAGATTTTATTTTATGAACTTTTACAGGCATGTAAACGAGTGCTATGGAGTTTTCAAATTCGAATGGTTTCAGAAATGGAATCTGCAAAGCTTACGGAGTTTGGGGTTTAGTTCTAGCTTCAAGAAAGTGTGTTGGGTCTAGGTATTTCCAAGGAATTGTAGAACAATGCGGCCTTAATGCAGCCTACAATGCGCTGACTAAACGATTTCCTACAACAGAAACCTGGAAAATAGCACCGACACCTTATGCCATGACCTTTCCCAGACGGTCCAAAGGTACTACTACTATGGACCATCCTAATCATGGTTTTGGAGACCGAATGCCAAAATGGTAGTATATATGGATCCTTTTGAGACCATTCAACCAACAACTATGACTTAGGGGCTGAGTCCCTTAGCCCAAAAAAGGTTGACCTTTTGAGCTATAGTAGGATTATATTAGCCCCAAAAGGTTGAACCCTAAACCCTAAACCCTAAACCCTAAGATAAACCCTATATCTTTACCTACTCAGCCCCTAAGATGAGGTGTAGCGCCAGACCGAGGCTCACTACTCCCCGTAGCAGGCCAGAAAGGCGGATTCCGTGTTTCCTCGAAGTGCCCAAAGAACCCAATACCCCTCAATTAAGGAATATACCTTAAACTATAGGGGCCGTACTATTATGATTTAAGGTATATTCCTTAATTAAGGGGTATTGGGTTTTCTGAGTGTCTGACACATCCTGACATCCGCTCGACCGAGTCAACAGCTCCAGCGGTACCTCAAGCCGAAGCCTGCCGGCCAGCTGGATCTCTTCGGCAACACCGCACAGCCGCGGCTTTGTGAAGCCCGACTCCGTGAAAACCTGATTCACCTGCCACACACATACAACTAGTATGTATATATATATATACCCAGTGCTTCCATGCAAGGCTTCGCATCCAAGCTGTGCCACAAACAACGCAGTTTTTCAAGGAATATAGCTTCCAAAGGAAAATCTGCGAGTGGTGGCAAAACTAGCATGTCACCATCAGGTCGCCACCTGGCGGTCCAAACTCGTCCCCCTCCAAAATGGAGGGGTCAGCGACCCCGGTCGCAAGGCTTCAATGTGGAATTTAATTTCAAGCCTTTGCGGCAGAATGACGTCAACAATAACCGGGTGACAAGCCAAAGGGCCAAAAGCGATGACTCCAAAGGGTCCTAAGTACTTATATGGGGAAGACTTACCCAAACCATGAAACTACTTCCTGCCATCGAAGATTTAACTACGAAATGAACCCTAAAAGGGTTGAAGGTTCATATACCATATAGGGTTTTAGGGCCCCTGCTTTTAAGGGTCATTTCGTCCTCAAGGTACTTTATACGCTATAGCAACCCGGACTGAAACATGCCAGTGAACTGTGAAGATGTCCACAATGGCAGGGCCTAGGGTTTGCAGTTTAGGGTTTAGGGTTTTAGGGTTTAGGGTTTAGGCTTGAAGGTTTAGTTCTTCGAGGTCTTAGTGTTTAGGGTTTAGGGCTTTGGGCTAAGCTTGTCAGCGTGTAAGGTTTAGGGTATGGGCATTGCAGAGAATCATGCTGCTTCTTCGAGGGGTTTAGGGTTTAGGGGTTTAGGGGTTTAGGGTTTAGGGTTTAGGGTTTACGGTTTAGGGACCGTTGTCACACACCGCGTTCCGTAGTATCCCCCCTAAACCCAAGGCCTTAAACCCCTAAGCCTAAACCCTAAACCCCCCTAAACCCAAAGCCTTAAGCCCCTAAACCCCAAATCTTAGCCGGTTCCATCAAATCAACGCTACCGCCTTGCTCAAACAAAATGATGCTATGGTTTAGGGTTTACGGTTTTAGGGCTTAGCGTTTAGGGTAATGACAGAAGCAACCATGTCTCGCAAAGGTCACTACGCCAGGCACTCACATGCTCAAAACTGAAACGCAGGAGCTGAAACGAATCAAGAGCAAACAACCCTGCTCCCTCAAACCAAAAACACCAAAAACAACAAACAACATTCAGCCCTAAACCCCCAGCCCCTTGAGCCCTTAAGCCCCTTAAGCCCGTAAGCCCCTAACTAAACCCCCTAAACTTTAAACCCTAGACCCTAAACCTCAAAGGCCCCTATGTAAGCCCTAAACCCTCAGTCAACCCGAAACTCTAAACCTCCAAACTAACCCCCCCAAACTAAACCCTAAACCCTAAACCCAAAACCCCAAACCCTAAACCCTCAACCCTCAACCCTATACCCTGAACTAAACCCCCAAACTAAAACCCTAAACCCTAAACCCCAAACCTAAACCCTAAACCCTAAACCCCAAACCCCCCAAACCAGACCCCCGAAAGTCCGGCCTGAGGCTGCGAAGGAACCGCGCAGATCTCCAGACGGCCTGTGAACGCATCTCGACCTCAGGGTGTGGGGTTTAGGGATTAGGGCTTATAGGGTTTAGGGTTTAGGGTTTAGGGTTTAGGGTTTTAGGGTGTAGGGTTCAGGGTTTAGGGTTTAGGGTTTAGGGTTTGCGGTTTAAAGTTTAAGGATTTAGGGTTTAGGGTTTAGGGTTTAGGACGGTTTACCTATAGTCTCCATGGTAGAAATATATATATATATATAAAGGAATTTACAAGGTGTCCCCAAAAAGGAACTACAATGGAGACTATAGGTAGGGTCTAGTATTCAGGGTTTAGGGTGTACAGGGTTTGTAGGGTTTAGGGTTTAGGGTTTATAGGGTTTAGGGTTTATAGGGTTTATACTAGGGTTCAGGGTCTAGGGTTTAGGGGTCTAGGGTTCAGGGTTTGGGGCTTAGGATCCCCCTTGCAATGTTTGGTAGTGTAAGAGCCTTGATAATTAGAACAGGGTTTCGGGCTCCCTTACAGAATTGTAATCGGGAATTCTAGAGAATAATACTGTGAATTATTTAGGCTTCTATATTGGTCTAAAGTGACCAAGACTGCAATACCACAGTACCCTAACCTGAGCCCTACGCCGTAAAACCATGAATCCTAATACTGGGGCTATCGCAACCTGCAGTGCCAAGCTGTACACCACCGTGTTAACCCCGTAACGGCATCGGGTTTAGGCCAACTGCTTATGAAAACGGGCTAAAACCCAATTATCTCCGCAGGTTGGGTTCGTTCCTAAACCCTAAACCCTAAACCCTACACCGTGGCACCTGCTGCATGATCTCTATCAAGACGAGCGTGATGTCCAGCGAGACCTCGGCATGGTTGGGGACGTCGGCTTTAAGGTTTAACCATTTGTGACAAAAGGGTAATAACGGGGCCTTAATGATTCCAATAGGGTTTTGGGGTCCTTTATTATAGTATAGTTACAATAAGGAACCCCCCAAGATAATATAGGTAATTATTGAGGCCCCCTACATTAAATACACGTGTAAAGACAAGACTTACAACCCAAAAGCCGGGTCAAGGTAGTTATAACCGTACGTGCATGTACGTACTAGGTCCCATGACCCTCTGACCTTAAGGACGAAATGACCCTGAAAAGTAGGGGCCCTATACCTTTATACTATGAATCCCTAGATGGTATACGAACTTTGAATCCGTTTAGGGTTCATTTCGTCCTTGAGGGAGTCGTTAAGTAAGCCAGAGCCGTACCCTCTACTCTCCTTAAGGATGCAGAAAATGTAGCTGACAAAACACAAGAGACCCCGGCCACACAACAGAAAGGAACAGCAAAGAACACAACACAAGTCTCCAAGAGTCGTACAGGTAAAAACCTAAACCCCGAACCCTAAACCCTGTAACCTTAACCCTCAACCCTAATCGCTGGATTTTTTGCACGTTTTGTCTAAATTTCCGAACCGGACGCCGGACGACTTCCAGAGGCTCCATACACATATTCAACCGATACAGCGGCCCTAAAGCATAATACCATGAGCCACGGTGTAGGGTTTAAGGCTTAGCGTTTAGGATGAACCCACAAAATTGGACATGGATCAGGAATGGTTCGTGCCGGGATTCGATATACCCTAGATTAAGGACGTGAGGATAAAGGAATGTACCATTATTCCCATATTTTAGGGTCCTTAAGGTACTGCAGGATATTTTATCATCAACAGTATGTCATCATCTATCTTGCTCGTGACAGTCGACTGCTGCCGACCTCCATTCCCTGTTACTTGTTTTTAGGGTAGAGGGTTTACGGTTTAGGGTTTAAGGTTTAGGGTTTGTGGGCCAGGAGCAAAAATGGAGAACTTGTACTCGGGCTGTGGGCTTAAGCATCACGTTTGAAAGTTCACTTCTCCTCGGCACCACTTTGAGCTAAACACTCGGAATGAACTAATGCCTAAACCCTAAACCCCCAAATCCTATACCCCTGAAGCCCTAAAACCTCTGAAACCCCTAAAACACCTATAAACCCTAAAACCCCCTAAAACCTCTAAAACTCCTTAAAACCCCTGAAACCCTTTAAAACCCCAAAATCCGTAAAACCCCTAAAACCCCTAAAGCCCCTCAACATCAAGACCAAGGCAAAGTCCAAACTACCGAAGGCTCCGGAGCTGTTTTCTACTTGCAAAACGATAAAAAAAACCCTGACCCTTGAGCTACCAAAACCTACTTTTTCGGATTTAGGGTTTAGGGTTTAGGGATCCCTTAAGGTAACCTACAAGATAAAACAGCAGGTTGTGGTTCTGTTGAAGTAAACTTAAGCCCCAAAGCCCCGAAACCCTAAACCCCATGGCAGCCCGGACCATGTAATGTAGGGGCCTTAGGGTTTAGGGTTTGGGGGCCCATTATACTATAATTTTAATAAGAAGCCCCCAAAACAAAATAGGTAATTATTGAGGCCCCTATAGTATGTGGCCACGTGGCCAAGGCCACATCGATCGCGAGCCAAGAACGAGCGTAGCGCCGCGCTAGAACGGACCTCTGCGGCATGGAGGGTATCGGGTTTAGGGTTTGGGGTTCCTGCCTATGGACGAAATGACCCTGAAAAGTAGGAGCCCTCTACCCTTATACTTTGAATCCCTAGATGGTATATGAACCTTAAACCCTTTTAGGCTTCATCTCGTCCTTAAGGTAAGTAGTAAGGAGAGGTACTGTGGTGAAGCGTTTTGCTCAAGCGCGATGTAGGGTTCAGGGCTACGTTCAGGATTGATCGGGTTTAGGGTTTAGAGGGGTTAGTGTTTAAGGTTTAGGGTGGTGATGGTACTGATGGGGAGGAGCTCCTTGTGTCAGCCCCCTGTTCCACCAAATCTCTGTCTCACCTCGAGATGGAGCAGACTTCCAATAAACCCTAAACCCTAAATCCTAAACAAAATAAGCTAGACAGCAGAAAATAATTTCAACAACTGCCTATGCAAGGGTCCTGCGCATAGACCTTGGTTGAACCCTGACCCTGAGCCCCACTGGCCTGAACCCCGAACGTTAAGGGACAATAGGAGGGACCCCAAGAAGGGACCCCTAATCCAAACACCCTCCATATAACCCTTATCTTGGCTGCCCTCACCCCGCTTGCTAAAAGTTTAACTTTTTACTCAGAAATGCTACACGCTGGATGTAATGCCAAAGCCCTCAACCCTCTTTGCACAGACTTGTATATGCCCACCAGGATGTCGGATGTCAGAGCCACTGCACTCGTGGCAGTCTTACCCAAAACCCTAGAGTGAACTTGTCCCTAAATCTGAACCCTCAACCCTAACACAATAACACTGGCTGCACGCCAAATGTTTTCCTCAGCTGGTCTGCTCCGCTGTTATCGCCGCAAGTCTCAGCAGGAGGCCTTTGAGATCAACCACGTTGCGCGACTTCCGCGCAAGATTGTACTCGACGGGCGATACAGCTGCCAGGCTCAGCTTGGGATGCTCAGGTTTTTCAGGCATCTCTCGCGAATAAACGTGCAAACGCTTATTCGTGCTACTGAGCCCGAAGTCGGCAACAGCCGTCTTCAGTACCGCCGCATGCTCTGCATGAGTCGCACAAAACTGTTCAGACAGATAAATATACAGGTGGTTGTTCAAAGCGCTCGAGTATTGCAAGCAACGCCCTGACTGCATGCGACTCCTCATCCACCCAATGTCAGCATGGCTTTGCCAAAAAAGCATGGCCTTCAAGAGTATTATATACCCTTTATGTAGTCTCATAAAGCCCCAAACCCTAAACCCTAAACCCTCGGGTCTCTTTAAGGGTCCCTCCTTTAGTCCCTTGACGAACGGTCCCGGGAAGCCTCTGAAGCTTAAATACCCTGCGACACAAGGCTAGAGGTTTAGGAGGGATCGGGGTTTAAGGGCTAATGATAATGAAAAATTAGGGTTTAGGGTTTAACGTTTAGGGTTTTTTTTAAAGGTTTAGGGTTTAGGGGTTTAGGGGTTCAGGGTTTGGGGTTTAGGGTTCCTTTGCCAGGACTTGCTGTGCCAACATGAACTACTGCTGGATTCCAACAACGGCCACGGCCCTGCCCAAAACCCTAAACTCAAAGTCTCTTGCAGACTGCTAAAAGGGGCAGCTTAATGCTCACGGATATGACGGCTTCCTGGAATTCCGGATCGCTTGGTTTGGAAGGGGAGGCCACGCAGAGTCTTTGTTGGGGGCCCTTCTTGCTTGCAGTGACTCTATGCAGGGGCGACAAATAGGGCCCCACACACCCTAACCTACACGGGGCACCTGGACTTCTAGCATGAGGCTCTAGGCCTTCAAGAGGAGATACGGGCACGCGCGACGGGTTTGGGAGTGGGAGTTCTGACATATGGGAGTTTCCGAAAACAAGGGGTACCTTATTTTGGGGTCCTGATAATAAGGATCCTACCATTTAGGGTACTATATTAGGGCCCCCTGTTTTCGAAAGCACCCATATATACTCAACGGATCATGGGACTACGTAACTAGTATGTAAGAACGGTAACTCAATAGCAATGCAATAGCTTGAACTACATACAAGCCAATCCTATATTTAGTACTATAACAGTTGTAATTACTCATAAACCCAAAGAAGGGCACTTAATAACCTTACTTACTAAGTCCCATGATCCTCCAAGTATGGCTTAGTTAGGAAGTTTAGGGTTCTCGAGGTGGGGCTTCGGGCTTTAGGGTATGGATTGTGCCGAACCCTAGTTGGTAATTGTTTAGGCCCCTACATTACTCGCAAAGTCAAGGATGGCAGTTTCAAGAGCAAAAAACCGACACCACTCCAGACCACCCCCCAAGAACAAGGTGCAGAGGATCCGAACTGATAAAGCCCTTCGATATTGAACCCGGATTATAAACCTCCACAAATTTCTACGCAACCCTGCCCTAAAATCGCTCGAACTGCATCGCAGTCGCGGTCGCATCTCCAATGTACCCCGGGTTTCGACCCCGAAGATGAGATTCCTGATTCGGGGGTTGGGAGGGTTTAGGGTTTAGGGTTTAGGGTTTAGGGTGGGGGTTGGGAGTTAGGGTTTAGGAGTCTACGGCTTAGGGTTTATGCTTTGTGAAGCTACGGAGTTTGGGGTCTTAGACTGCATCGGGAGTCTTGGGTTGTGAGGCTTCAGGCTCTTACCACCTTGAGGTTTTGGGTTTCGGGTTTAGGGTTTGTGGTTAAAGGTTTCGGGATTTTTTCGGTTCCAAAATTATGATCTAGGGTGTCAGTGTTTGGGGGTCAGCGGTTTTGGTGTTTTTTTTGGGCTTAGGAAGTCTATAGAAGGTTTTGATGCAGCTCCGAGTGCTCAAACCGCATACTGTAGGAACTGTGGGAACCTGATTGAGACACCCTGGTCCTATAACCCCTTCTTAAGCAGGTTCCTACATTCAGGCACCTGTTTGGCGAAAGCTTTCGGAAGAAAAGAAAAATACTGCAGTCAACATCACCATCACAACGCCATGAACCGTTATACCCTCATGTGCCACTACAGTGCCGTCTCCGTCTGCTGGCCAAAGCTGCAGAGGCATGTCGATCAACCAAAAGCCGAGAGAGACGTTGGAAATAACCTCATGTTCACAGGGTTCCCAGAGAGCCCAATACCCCTGAATGAAGGAATTTACGTTAAAGCTACATAAGAGGCTTGCTATATTATGGTTGAAGCTACATTCCCGAATATACCTAAAAATTTACGGTGTTTTAAATATATTATGATTTAAGCCATTATATTCCCTACTTGAGGGGTACTTGGCTCTCTGGGTTCGGGATCAACGTGGGGCCTGAAGAACTATCCGTGAGGGTTCCTTACTCGTGATATGGCGTACAGTATAATACTGATTGCAAATTTCATGACCCTAAATTCGGATTTCGATTTTAGGCTGAGACCCACGAGAGAGAGAGAGAGAGAGATATAATCAAAGGAAGGGAGACAAAGAAAGAAAGCGAGACACAGAGAGAGAGACAGCACATGCGCGGGCACACGACGATTGCACCCACGTGAAAAGACAGCTGAAGGTTTCGGGCTGAACTAGCAGGGCCAGGAAGCTGGCAGAGAATGAAAGGTGCAGACTTCGACACTCGGTGTGCATGCCAAGGGGCGTTGCACCCAAGAGTGTCTTTAAACATAATGCGCCTAGCTGTTCCCTAACCCCCCAGGTACCTACTATATAGGGTACTAGAGCCCCTAAAACTCTGTATAGTAGGTACCTGGAGGGTTCGGGTGTTGATACGAAGTCCACTGAGCAAAGTGCTAAAGGACCAGCAAGTGGACCAAAGGATTGCACACAGCTGGCACCCAGGAGTCTTCAGTGCTTTTTCGAGGGGTTTAGGGTTTAGGGTTTAGTGTTGAGGGTTTCATAATCAATGCCGGTGTGTTGTAGGTGTGTTGTGAGGTCTTGAATCTTTTGGCAGGGTTCGGAACCTGCAAGGGCGTTAGCTGCGAGTTTGAACGCCCCGGCACCACCCACCACTGCATAACAAGTCTGAGAAGGAGGCATCTGTTGCTGTCCCAAACACACACATTCGCCGAAACTCTTAAGTTTCCCAACGTAAACTTGCCGAGACATACATACACATCTACCTACCTACCCGTATGTACGTACGTACGTACGTACGTAGACAGATAGATACACCCTAAGGGTCCATGTACCCAAATAGTACATACTTTGGCCCCAAAGTACCTATATAGGGACTACATTAAGGCCAAAGTATATACTATTTGGGTACATGGACCCTTTGGGAGATAGATAAATAGATAGATGGACAGGTAGATATGTATGTGTATGTGTACATATCTATAGAATACACATACACGTACTGTAGTCCGGGAGCACCAACCTTGTATTTAAGACCTTAAGCCCTAATCCGTGCACCCTGATGCCAAGAGGAACTTCTGAACCCACGGGTTTAGGGTTTAGGGTTACGGGTCTAGGGTTTAGGGTTAAGGACCTGTTGCGCTTGTGTTACTCGGGAAGGCCTGTTGGGGCTTAGGGCTTCAGGAGTTTAAGAGTTGAGGGGTTTAGGGGATTGGGGGTTTTGGGGTTTTTGGGGTTCAGGGGTTTAGGGTTCATGGATTGAGGATATAGGGGGTTTAGGGTTTAGGGTGTAACCCTGAAACAGAAAACGCTTTTGACAGACTGGCCAGGCACTCCCATGACTTCGATAAAGTCGGGCAGGTTGAAGAGACCGAGGGGAATGGTAATCAAGTCCCAGAGGATGAGACTGGGCAGGGCAGATGCTGTTGGTTATTGAAACCCTAGGGCTCCAAGTATACAAATAGTACCTACTTTGGGTCTAAAGTCTGCAAATAGTATCTACTTTAGGCTATTTGGAGCCCCAGGGAAAACCTGTTTCTTTCACACTTGTTTTAAGAGATTAAGTGCCGACTCCTAAACCAAAATCCCTAAATCCAGTACAATGCTGCCAAAGGCGAACCTAACTAAACAACACTGCCCATGGTCTTTGTTGTAGTTCCTTTCAAGTATTTGAAATAAATAAATATATATATATATATATGGTTAAACCAACAAAAAAGTTAGAAAGGAGCTGCAATGGACACTATAAGTTCCCTTTGCCCTAAACCGCAAACCTCATGTAGAGGCCTAAATAATTGTCTATACTGTTTTGGGGGTTCCCTATTATACCTATAGTATAATGGGCCCAAAAATCCTATTCTAATTAGTTAAGGCCCTAAATTCAGCCCTAAACCCTGCACAATAATTGCCAGTACTGTTCTGGGGGTTCCCTTATACTGGGCCCCAAACCCCATTCCTATACCCTAAACCCTAAACCCTATTATATTTATATTATACTGGGCCCCAAGACTCTGCCTATATTCCCTGAAACCTTCAAAGTGAGCTGAGCTCTGATCCTGGACACCAGTGCAACTTCACAGAGGGTTTGGGTTTTAAGGTGTAGAATCTAGGGCTTAGGGTTTGGAATTTAGAACTTAGGGTTTAGAACTTGGGGTTCAGGGTTTAGGGTTTTTAATCTAGGGCTTGGGGTGTAGAATTTAGAACTTAGGGTTTAGAATTTGCCCTAAACCCTAAACCCTAAGCCCTAAACCCTAAACCGTTCAGGGTTTAGAGTTTTTACCGGCCCTACGGTTTAGGATTTAGGGTCCCTCAACCTTGCATTGACGCTAAGACCCGAAGTCCTGAACCCGAAAATTTGAACAAGAAGCCCTAAACCCTAAACCCTAAACCCTAAACCCTAAACCCTAAACCCTACTAAACTCTACATCTTCACGCCCATTTCAGCTTAGGGCATAGAGCTCTTGGTTTAATCTTCAAGCCCGCTTCCGTTTAGATTCCGGGGTTAAAGCTTGACGAAAAAAGGGTTGCGTGGTAAGGTGGGCTTTCGGGTTCGGGGCGTTTAACTTGGTGTTCTTCTGGTTGGCTCTTTAGACTTTAACTTTTTGGGTTTCTATATGAGCCATAATAAGGAGACTAAAAGTTTAACTTTTTGGAGGGGTTCAGAAGTCAGCCAAGTTAAGGTTTAGGGTTTGGTGGAAGTTGCAGGTGTTTCCTCGGACATCTGGCCTTGCCGGCTTACAGCTACAACTAGTGTAGGAGCTTTGTTGATTTCAAAGGAATTTCAGATAATTCTAGGTTTTTGTAGAATACTATAACTAACTAATCATGATAAGGAGCCCTACAGAATAGTATACTCATTCTTCAGTCCAAAACCTCACAGACCAGGAAAGAGGGGAAAGCCCAGAGGGTTTAGGGTCGCGTTTGGAAAGGTTTGGGGTTTAGGGTTTAGGATTTAGGGTTTAGGGTTTAGGGTTTAGGAATTGGTGCTGTTTCCCTGCGGTTCGCGTAAGCCTAAAAGTCCTGAACGAATACAAACGTAGTCCTAACTGTTCACACACTGCCGGGTCGCAAGCTCGACCGAAGAAGTTCGCCTATAGTACGTGTTGAGTTGAATACAAGTGATCGGTCGCGGCCTGGATGAGGGTTGATCGCGATCTAGGGTCGTGCAGCGCGACCGCAAGACCCTTCTCGACTCACAATCTGGCCACTGTCCCTCGAGGCCGGTGCTGAACTCCACCGCGATGAGAGGGTCATTCTTTGCTGCAGTCCGCATGGCAGATGCCTCCCTACAAACATTGCCAGTGCTAAATTCGCGGGCAAGGGCATCTCGCTTTGCTGAGTGATAAGCCTACCGTTTGATTGTAAGGTCCGCGATGACACGGTATTTCGGCTTCAGCCAGTCTTCGCCATGATTATCCGCGCAAGAAGCTTGTTGAACGTCGCCATGATTATCCGTGTAAGAAGCTTCCCGGAGTAGTTTCAACAGTTCGTCCTTGTTTCCTCTGGTGTGCAGAAACGCAGCGCTGCAGAGCTTTCGCAGCTCTTTCACCTGCCGGGTCTTTCGCAGAGCAGCAGCTCGACATGATCCGACATGTCCTCAGCCCACATGACCTGCTGCAGCCGAGTGTTGAAGGCTGGAGGTTGTCGAGCATGACGAACCCTTTACGCGGCGCGTCGCATTCAAGTTTGAGAAAAGCTCTAGGCTTCAATCCCAGATGGCAAACATGGTTTGGGCCTTTGAGTCTGGGGTCTAGGGCCAACAAAAACCTATATCCCAAAACAGCTGTGAGCCCTTGCACAGGAATCTCGCACACCCCGATGCTCGAGCGAGAATGATGACGTCTACCTGCTACACCCAACATGTACTCCTGCAACATTGCTTCAACACTCAGAACAAATCAACTGGCCCCGGTGGACATGGGACTGTCAGAAACCTAAGGGATCTTATAGGACCTTCCAGCAAGGGCAAAATCGCCGGAAACTCCTGGTGCAGAACCGGGAATAATTACTGGTTGTCATCTCTGAAATTTCCCCCTATAGGTATACCGCTAAGCATCCCCATCCTAGACAATTTTGAAGCATCCCTAAACTTCTCGAACCACGCCTATGCCCTGAAAATCTAAACACCCTGCTTCCTTACGAAACCCTAAACCCTAAACGACATCCACAACCCTAAACTCTGAACCCTTAACCCTAAACTCTAAACTCCCAGAACCCGGAAGCCCTAACCGCGAACAAAAAACCCAGGCCATGAAACCTGTACTCTAAACTCCTAAATCCCTTTCCCGAAGGCTCTTATTGCTGTTATGGGCTTTCTAGGCGAAGGTTTGGGCTTTGGGGGCTAAGGCTTGGGCTTTCACTATGGGGGTCCATGAGCACCCTAAACCCTAAACCCTAAACCCAAAGCCTTAAGGGTTAAACCCTCAACAGCACCTTCCCTTAGAGAGCCCTCGCAGCATGAAGCCCCAAAAAAACCCGAACCCCTACATGCAAAGCCCCCGGGATCCTTCGCTTAAAGCCCCCTAAACCCCTAAACCCCTAAACCCCCGAACCCTAAACCCTAAACCCCAAGCCCTAAACCCTAAATCCTCCAGAAGAAATGCTTAAGCCCTTAACCCTTGGCCCTCAACAGCCCGGCCTAAACCCTAAACCCTAAACCCTAAAACCCGAAACCCCAAACCCTGAAAACCCTAAACCCCGAAACCCAAACCCTAAACCCCTAAACCCTAAACCCCAAAACCCTAAACCCTAAACCCCAAACCCTAAACCCTAAACCCCCGAAACCGTGGCCCGTCTTCGTCAAGGCGCAAAGCCCCCATGGAGGACCAGAACATCTGAATTTTGCTCCGTGGGCTCACGACGAATCCTCGGTGGGTTTAGGGCTCATGGGGTTTAGGGTTTAGGGTTTGGGGTTTAGGGTTTGGGGTTTAGGGTTTGGGGTTTAGGGTTTAGGGCTTAGGGCTCACGACGAATCCTCGGTTCTTTGGGTGTAGGGCTTACGACGAATTCCGGGTTCTTTGGGTGTTTTTGGGGGGGGTTTAGGGCTTCAGGTCTTCGGATCTGGAGGAGTCTACGACGAGTCCCAAGTTTATGTGTTGTGGGTTTAGGGTTTAGCCCCTAAACCCCTAAACCCCTAAACCCCTAAACCCCCAAACCCCCAAACCCCTAGACCCTAAACCCTAAACCCTAAACCCTGAACCCCAAACACCTAGACCCTAAACCCTAAACCCTAAACCCCTGAGCCCCTAAGACCAGCCGAAGCTGCTCTGCAGGCAAGAATTCTCGTGCAGGGCGTCGGACATCTTAAGAGTCGACCTTCAACTTCCCGAAGGGTTTTTAAGGTTTATGGGATTTAGGGTTTTAGGGTTTAGGGCTTTAGGATTTAGGATTTAGGGTTTTAGGATTTAGGGATTTAGAGTTTAGGGCTTTAGGATTTAGGGCTTATAGGATTTAGGGTTTTAGGGTTCTGGGCTTTAGGATTTAGGGTTTATAGGATTTAGGGTTTTAGGGTTCTGGGCTTTAGGATTTAGGGTTTAGGATTTAGGGTTTTAGGATTTAGGGTTTTAGGGCTTTAGGGTTTAGGGGTTTAGGGTTTAGGGTTTTAGGAACTAGGGTATTAGCGATTAGGGTTTTAGGGTTTCACGGTTTAGGCTGTTTTTAAGACCCTTTCGAATCCAGCCCTTGCCCCACAGACTACAGCAAGGCTTTAGGGTTTAGGGTTTTAGGGTGAATGTAGGGTTTCTATACTGGGAATTACCATTATGGTCTGGGTCTTCAATTTCCCTAAGGGTCATGCACCCACAAGG